CCGTAGCGTGCGGGCGTGGTACTCACAATGGCCCCATTCTGGTATGGACCTCTGTCTGAGAGTGTCGCCGTACTTCATTCCAACAAATTGATAAGTGGGGTGGTGGAAATAGGCCCAATTGGTTGCGCCGTGTGGGTTTGTTATGAATTATGAAAGCGATAAACTGGCACCGTCAGATAAGCCCTCGAGGGTTCATGATTGCACGGTCGTGCAATATACGTGCGAGCGTTGCACGTTCACACAGTCAGACAGCAATTGAGCCGTTGGACCGTTGAACCGCCGAGACAGGGCGCCAGCCGGACTACGTACCGTTGGTTTCAACTGGGTGAATCAAGATAACACCTCCGCCGTCGTCATGCCAAGATATCCGGCTTATGACGCGCTGCTAGCCGAGTATGTGAATTTTAAATGTGAGACGAGTGCGGAAACCTAGAGTGAAAGTGCCAGAACATCATGGCGCTGTGAAGAGTGTATGTACTTGTCGATCGAGCGCAGGTGTTCCTCGATAGCTTCGATCCACGCTATGATGGAACCTTGGAACCCTTCTCCGGTGCTACGCAGGCATCCTTGTACGTGCGCAAGGGCCCACATCCCATGCAGCCGGGATATCATCTCCACTCAACACCCAATGTTATCGTATGACGGGGAGGGAACTGCTGAACGTGTTCCCTGGTGTTGAACCTCGGTTGGTGAGGTAAGCTTATCATTCTCCAAGGGTCAGCCTAGAGTGTCTACAGTACAGCCTCAACGTGTGACCAACCACTACTGATAACCTAGCATCTTCAAGCTCGATGTCTCCGTTAAAGAGCTTGTTGCTTCCCGCACGCCATAATCGATTCGAATTGAGCAAACGACATTAGCCGTCTGCCGTGTTGCAGAGAAGCATCACGATCCACAGTTCAAAGCGGCAACCGGCATGTACCGCGCAATGCCGGCACGTTGAACATCGAGACGAAGCCTCAGCTGTGGCTGCCATCACAGTCAATCTAGATCGTCAAGCAGCAGGAGGTATTGCCAGGAAAGACGACAGAATGTCACTACACCAATGCGATTGGCCAATGCAAGTATCTGGAGAAAATTGGAGAAGAAAAGCTTGCATCTAGACAAGGATAGACGTGCAGCTTAACGAACCTCCACTTGCCTGTTGCGAGACGAACCAGGGATGTTCTCTACACCACACAAGACATCTCTACACAATTGGAGCCGCGGAAGAAATTTGTCCCATGATTATTCCTTGCACACAACTTCTCTTCAGTACGATAACGACATGTCCCCGCATCTATCTGGTCAATGAGAGACAACAGCGATGAATACTCATCGACCGTCCCCACACGATAGCACTTGCGGCCGCCGGCCACCCGTCGCAGGGACCTGGACCCATTGCCGAAGTGGAGCTTCATCATGCCCATCCCGTGGAGCCGCGGTAGTGCTGGCTCAATTGAGCGCCTCCGAGGAGCTACACGACTCTCGTCGTGCTAGACGATGGAGACAAAGTGAGTCAGACCAAACATTATGAACTTGATATACGAGAACGAAGGATGAAGACAGCCGTTAGTTTCGTCACTAAGTCTACCTTTTTTCATATCACAAGTCCTGAATGAAACGAGTGGCAATCCCACATATCCAAATCAACGAATTTGACCGTCGAGACGAGGTTTCTGCAAAGTAATCCGCCAAACCAATCCATATTCTCTCAAAGGATCGATATGCATACCCGAGTTCCACGGAGCTACGGCACTTGTCCGCCACATTGGCGATGCTTGTATCAACATCTGCATGCACGTCTGCGCGTCTCCATTTCATGCTGTTAGTCCTGCGTCTTGAAAGGTCGCGTGCTCACCTGCCTATACCGGCTCCGCTATGACGAACAGGGGTGCTGCATATGTAGGATCGCTAGAACGCCGTATGTGACATCGCGCTTGCATGATCCAGACCCAGACGTTTGGAACGTTTCTGCCACTTGCGTTGCGTGTGTTGCCCACGTGGGTGATCGGTGTGGTTTTCAGGGCTTCAACGTGGTATGTCGGTTCGAGTAATTGTGAGGATTCGAGGTGTAATACTGCCGGTGGTAGGGGTTGATATCGACTCAGAATTGAAGTTTGTGGGGCACTTCGCTTGCTTGCTTGCTTCTTGTTGCTTCATGTGAAGGACGGGTTGCTTAGATATCGGTTACATATACGATTGGTCTTGGTGATGCGGTCACATATGACTTGGCAACCGCTGAAATGTCTTGATCATGATGATATAATAGCCTGTGCTCCAACAGATTTGAATCCAATGGCTCGTTGCGTCCAAAATCTGTGGCGCAATGACCCTACGTATTGGTCAGAACATGTGAGCAGTCTTTAAACAGTAAGCAATATACGTACAGTATCAGTCCAGCGCACTTCCCAGAACAACATACACGCTGAGCGAATCTCAGCACTTCATCATCGCCCAAAGCTTCACACCTTCACCCCCCTCTCGTCCCCTCCCCTCCCCATCAACCTTCCCCTTCCCTACAACAATCTCCTCCAACATCTGAAACCCCAAGTGCGTATACACATCTCTACTCCTCGGAGACGTAGATTCCAAAACCACAGGCCACCCCTTCTCCCTCGCCATATCAAGAACAGGGCGAATGAGATCACTGACTTTAGCCGGGTTTGAAGTAGAAGGGCGAGTGCGGTCGTTTGCTAAAAGGACTAGATGTAGCATGTGAGTTGCCTGGGGAGGAATGAAGCGTTTCCGGACGTGGTGAGCGAGGGAGTTTAGTTCTGTTACGGCGGGCGGGTTGTGTGGTTCTTCGATGTAGTTTTCTGTTACTTCTTCTAGTGTCCTGCGTGAACTATCGTTAGTATCTTTGAACATCCACTCCTAAAATTTTGTTCTCTTTCAACTCCTCCATTTCTTGAAAGAGAAACATCTCATGATGATATGTCATGTACTTACCAGACACTAGCCACCCCACTTCCAGGAACCGTCATACACCTCGCTCCAGCCTTGATAAAATCCGGCACGATGAACGCAAAAACCTCCTTGTTCATCTCCTCTCCAATATCCGTCTTGCCTGATCCCTGCATTTCATCCAGGAGGATATAGCGTTGAAAAGCATCGGGTTCGAATTGCTTGGCGAGAATTTCGATCGTGTGGTCTAGCGTGTCTTCTATGAGACCAGCAGGGACGGGTATTTGCGACATGATGCTGTTACTGAGGAATTCTCGGCAATTGAAAGCAGGCTTAGGAAGAATATTGTGGGTGTTGATGCAGGTGGAGGTTCATGGACTTTTGGCAGTATACTAGTAGTTGATGGGGTCGGTCCGAATTTTCAATGCTCCGGTCCGAAGTTCTCTACATTATGAGCCGGCTGGGCAACGTGTATTACGGTAGGTGTTAGACGTCGCTAGCTTCATCCGACCGGTTGCTCGCTCGTACGAGGCTTCCGCGGGCCCCGCAGCGGTACCTGTTCACCTGCCCTACGCTGTAACATACTTGAACGACTGGATTCTGTTGTGGGGCAGGGCCTGGGGTAGGCCGTGCATGACGTGTATACATCACGCGTAGTACGTCTCACGTTGTGTCGAAGAAGAGTGTGTTTGGTCTCAAATGAATGAAGCGTTCCGACTTGGAATGCCGTCTTCTGCCTTGATTGAACGCCATACTATACACGTAGATTAAACGCCCGCATATGTTGACACTGAACAAACTTGGTACCGCCCGCATTTTAAGACGTTTAACCTGGAGGGAGCAGACTGTTGTCGACAACATCCTGCGCCTCCATTTCCTCCACATCGGCACTGTTGTGTAGCGGGGAGCGCGGTAGAGCCATAAGGCCTGTGTGTGGTTAGCAAATCGGCCATGCCTGAACATCCCACGGTGCTTACCAGTTCTTGCGGACTCCAGGATACCGAATGGAGCAATTAGCTTCATGAAGGAGTCAATCCTGGTAGGCTTCGCGGAAACCTCTACTATGCAGTTGTTTGTGCTAATGTCGAGCACCTTTCCACCGAATTGATGAGTCATGAAGGTAATGGCGCGCAGATGCTCGTGCTTGTGTCGGAGTGCCTGACTGACGGGCAGGTTTGTTGGGTGGTAGTCTTTCCGCAAAGACTCGCGAGCAGCCTCCTGTGCCATTGCGTTGCGCTCCTCGTCTGTCATGTCTGGTTCGTATTGCTCCTCCATCTCCGGGGTCTGCGCCATTTCTCGGTGGTGCGCAAGCAGCTCCTCAAAGTACTCCGGGCCGAGAATCGAGACCTTGGCGAGGAGCAGTTCGCGCTGGACGAGGGGCGACTGGGTGTAGTCAAGCACAGCCCATACCGGGACCAGGTCCTCGAGCTGGCGACGGGCTTGTTCTATGACACCATCCTGCCCCTGCAACACAATTGTCATTCGGGAGAGGTCGTCTACCTCGGTGTTGCAGACGACCAGACTGTCGATGTTGAAGCCGCGGGCAGCCAAGATACCGGATACGCGGGACAGCACACCGGGCTCGTTCTGTACCAAACAGTTGAGGATATGGCTCTTGGGCGGAGCTTGGGATGGGAGCGGCGTTTCGTAGAGGATGTTGCTGACGGCAGCGGGCGCCGACCACGCCGGGGGACGGTCTTCGGTGGGGAGGGGCGCGATGCGACGGTGAAGGGCCTTGTAAGCCAGCGCCTGGGTCGACGAGGAGCTGGATGCCCGTTGTTGCTGGCGGAGGGAGGCGGCGCATTGCCTGTTGAGCAGACTGCGCAGCGGCAGCATTGCTCTCCGGGAAGCCATGGCGGGCAGTGGTCGCGGTGAAGGCGAGTGGGCGAGGAGTGACTGCGGATGTGGATGGGCTTCACGTCAAACTGCCCCAGAAAGTGAAATAGAATCCCCGGCCGATTGTCGGAGGAGCCACCAGGCCACGAACAGGCAGGTTCAGCCGCGGCACGCTACTAAGCGAGTCGCTCCTGCCAGAGCCTAAGATTCATCGACAAACACCAACCAACCCGAGCCTCACCCGCAACACCACAACTATCGCTACGGCCACCCGCATCATGTCTGAGGAACGCCGCCCCCGATCGCGCTTTGATAGCGACGATGCCGAGCGCCCTGTCCGCTCGCGCTTCGACTCAGATCGTCGCTCCAGGTCGCCGTCGCGGAGGGAATCCGAGTCGCATCGCGCCCGTAGCCCTATCGCCCGTGAAGGCACAGACAGCCCTGCATCGTCCAACTTCAAGAACGAGGCGGCAGCAAAGGCAGCGGCGGCGGCTGCGAGGATCAACGCGCAGATTCAGGCGAAGAAGGGCATCCAGCATGTCGACGTGCCACCGATTCGCTCTGTAAGTTCACTCATATCTTTCCAAGCAGGACAAAACTAACAGCCCAGGCCGCTACTCCTCCAGTCGCCAAGTCGCCCGCCTCAAACTCCGCCGCGGCCATAAACAACGAGACGTACCAGCAGGATGGTGACTACATCAAAGACATTGAGATCAATGATCTCCGTAATCGCTACACACTGACTAAAGGAGCTACACAAAAGAGGGTAAATAACTGTTTTTGCTGTCCACTGATCATGTAGGATCATGCCTTCTCCATGCTCTGCTGCGCTGCACCTGGTGCGTGTGCTGCGGGGCTGGAGTTGGTCTCTGTTTGCGCATCTCTCTATGAGAGTCAGAGCTTACTTGATCTAGCACCCCACCCCATTTATCAAATGCTAACCTCCATGTGCCATCTAGATCAAAGACGAGACTGGCGCCGGTACGCATCCCCGATTACAACCATTAACCTTTAGAATACCTGCTTATACATGCAAGATGTCACTACTCGCGGAGAATACTACCCTGACAAGAACATGGCAACTGCTACTGTAGGTGAACACGCAGAGTCGCGCGACAAAGCTAACGGGAACAGAACCCGCCGCTGTACCTCCGCATCACTAGCACCTCCAAAGAAGGCCTGGACAAGGCTGTCGAGATGATCGAAGAGATGATGAAGGAGGACCTTCCTAACCTTGTAGACGAACGTCGTTTCCGCCGTAGAGAGCCGGAGAACTTCGAGCGCGACGAATTTGGCAGAGTATGTTACCCTGTCTGTCATCCGACATGTTGCTAACTCTTCCCAGCGCAAGTGGCCCGAAGAGAAGATTTCCGTAGGTCTCGAGCCTATCAGCGGCTTTAACTTGCGCGCACAGGTTGTCGGTCGCGGTGGCGACAACGTCAAGTTCATTCAACAGGAGACAGGCTGCAAAGTCCAGATCAAAGGTCGCGGTTCCGGCTTCATGGAGCCAAACAGCGGACAAGAGAGCGACGAGCCCATGTACCTCCACATCGCGTTCGTATACCCCGCCATTCCTACCCTCCAATTACTGACAGATCGTAGTGGACCCCGTCCCGAAGGCGTAGCCCAAGCCAAGCAACTCTGCGACGAGCTCCTCGACAAGGTAAAGTCGGATTACCACGCTTACAAGGAACGCCCTCCACCGAACCGTTACGGCGACCGAGATGGCTATGGCGGTGGACGACCGGGATACGGCGATCGTGGCGACCGTGGAGATCGTGGTGACCGTGATCGCAGCCAGAGCTACGGATACGGTGGAGGAAACGGAGGAGGCAGCGGCTACGGTGGCTACGGCGCTCAGGGTCAGAACGGTTACGGCGGCCAGGACACAATCATGTCTCCTGCTGCTGCGACGCCGACTGCTGATGCTAACAACCAAGCCTACGATGCGAATGCGGCACAAGCATGGATTGCCTACTACCAGCAGAACCCCGAGGCTGATCCTTATGCGGCCTACGGTGGGTATGCAGCGTATCTCGCACTCCAGCAACAGCAGTACGCGGCGTACTATGCTCAGAACGGCTATGGCCAGACGCAGTCACCTGCTCCCGGCGCTGGCGCGGCTGCACCACCACCGCCGCCGCCTTCAGAGCCATCCGGCTACGCTGCTCCACCGCCGCCTCCACCAGCTGCATCGCCTTCCAACTATGGCGCCGTCCCTCCACCTCCCGGTTTGTAAGTCCGAAGCAACGACTATGATTTCGCGCTTACGACAGCCTTTCAACTTGACTTGATTGATCGAAACTAGTCCGATTTGCCTTTGCATATTGACTGACAGCGGGTGTGGTGGATTGGTTTGAGGGTTTCTCTACGCTTCGGCACGTTTAGTTACAGGTACGGAGCATCGTCTCGGGTACGGTAATAGTCTGCCAATCTGGAGTTGTCACTTTAGTTAGGATACCAGTGCCATTGCTATAGCTTAAATTTAAGAATGGTACTACCCATCGCATCATCTCTCAGATTACTTTGACGCGTGCTGTGATTGGGTCAGAGGGTTTCCTTCTCCGCGGTACCTATGACTCGCGTGCATCTCCGCAGTCGGCTCGGTATATTCTGAAGGCACCATTTTTGACGTGCTCGCACCGCGTCGCCGCCACGGACAACCTACGAAAAGATGCGGTCGCAAATACTTCGTGCTGGTCAAGCAGCCAACTGCAGGGTGAGTCTACACATACCATTGGCCGTTCAACATCTCTCCAAACCTCATGCGACTTCCGCAATAGTCATCGTCATCGCGCTTCTCTACTACACCTCCAAGTGACTCAAAATCGCTGACATTCCCTCTACAGCCCCATCTCTCCTCCCTCCGCCAACCGCTCAGATGCCTCGCCACATCGCACTCGCCGCCCTCCGCGCGCAACGTCGACCTCGGCTCGCGCACCCCACCGTATGCCAAACTGCTCTCGCGGCTCGAAGAAGTCCGGCGCGTACTCGGTTCCTCTCGCCAATTGACTTTGGCAGAGAAGATACTGTATTCGCATCTTGAGAGCCCTGAGGAGTCGCTGTTGAGCAATACGAATGGAGGAAGGGATATTCGGGGTCAGGCGAATCTCAAGTTGAAGCCGGATCGCGTGGCGATGCAGGATGCGAGTGCGCAGATGGCGCTGCTGCAGTTTATGAGCTGTGGGTTGCCGAGTACGGCTGTGCCTGCTAGTATTCACTGTAAGTGACGGTCATGGACGAACTGCGATCGAGGCATGTGCTGACTACATACATAAGGTGATCATATGATAGTGGTAGGGACTACCCTTGACGCCGTTCAGGTCCTACTCTGAGCGTTTCGCTGATTAGATCCTCTAGGGAGAAAAAGGCGCCGACACCGACCTTCCACAATCGATAGCGGGTAACAAGGAGGTTTTCGATTTCCTCGAGTCGGCGGCGAAGAAGTACGGAATTGAGTTCTGGCCACCCGGCGCTGGCATCATCCATCAGTCTGTCCTGGAAAACTACAGTGCTCCTGGGCTCATGATCTTGGGCACGGACAGTCACTCACCGAATGCTGGAGGTCTGGGATCGATTACAATTGGTGTGGGTGGTGCGGACGCGGTAGACGCTCTCGTGGATGCGCCGTGGGAGCTGAAGGCACCCAAGATTTTGGGCGTGAAGCTCACCGGAGAACTCAGCGGATGGGCCTCGCCAAAGGATGTGATCCTGAAATTGGCTGGCGAGCTGACCGTCCGGGTATGTCAATTTGAACATGGCGAAGTACTCCTGGCTAACGCATGTGCAGGGTGGCACTGGCTTCATCATTGAGTACTTTGGCCCTGGTGTGCAATCTCTAAGCTGCACAGGCATGGCGACTATCTGGTGAGACCCTTACATAGTTCAACTCGTGGACAAGTACTAATACGATATAGCAACATGGGCGCTGAAGTCGGCGCAACTACCTCGCTCTTCCCCTTCTCTCCTGCGCACATCCCCTACCTCCAAGCCACACATCGCGGACCGATCGCTGAAGCCGCTGCCAAGATCGCCGGTTCACCAATGCAGCAAAACCTACTTCGACCTGACCCAGAAGCCGCCTATGATAAAGTCATCGAGATCAACCTTTCGGAACTCGAGCCTCACATCAACGGACCATTCACCCCTGACCTGTCAACACCTCTATCCAAGTTTAAGTCTGTAGTTGAAGAGAAGGGATGGCCACAAACATTCGGTGCGGGCCTAATTGGTAGCTGCACAAACAGCTCATACCAGGACATGACTCGGTCAGAAGAGATTGTGAAGCAGGCACTAGCAGCGGGTCTCAAGCCCAAGGCGGACTTCTTCATTACCCCAGGAAGTGAACAGATCCGAGCAACGTTAGAACGGGATGAAACTCTTCAAACGTTTACTGCTGCTGGTGGCACTGTACTGGCAAACGCTTGCGGGTGAGTTTTCAAATTATCCTGATTGATTCCAAGTACTGACAACCTCGACGTCCCTGCATTGGGCAATGGAAGCGTACCGACGACGTAAAGAAGGGTGAATCCAACGCTATCCTCACGTCCTACAACCGCAACTTCCCCGGCCGCAACGATGGTAACCGAGCTACCATGAACTTCCTCGCTTCTCCCGAACTCATCACCGCCATGTCATACTCTGGCTCTACCACCTTCAACCCAATGACCGACAGCATCCCGACACCTGACGGCAAGCCTTTCAAGTTTGCGCCGCCAAAGGGCTCTGATCTCCCCACCGCTGGTTTCGCAGACGGTAACCCAGACTTCATGCCTACGCCAGGTGTCCCCGACGCCAGCGTGGATGTCATTGTCTCGCCTACATCCACCCGACTGGCACTCCTTGATCCTTTCCCAGCATTCCCTGGCTCGGAGTTTACAGGCCTGCGAGTACTCTACAAGGTCAAGGGACAATGCACAACAGACACCATCTCGGCTGCCGGTCCATGGCTCAAGTACAAGGGCCATCTCCCCAACATCTCTGAGAACACACTCATCGGTGCAGTCAACGCACAAACCGATGAAGTCAACGTTGCCTACGACTTCGACGGTAAGACGTCCGGTATCCCAGAACTAGCAAAGAGGTGGCGCGACCAGGGCATCGAGTGGCTAGTCGTAGCAGAGCACAACTACGGCGAGGGCTCTGCCCGTGAACACGCCGCCCTGCAACCCCGATACCTCGGTGGCCGCATCATCCTAGCCAAGTCATTCGCCCGTATCCACGAGACCAACCTCAAGAAGCAAGGTATCGTCCCACTCACCTTCGCCAACGAAGCCGATTACGACGCCTTCGAAGCATGCGACCAGGTCGCTACACGGGGACTGCTGGACGTGCTGAAGAGCGGCGGCAAGGGCGAAGTCGAGCTTGTCCTCAAGAAGAAGGACGGTAGCGAGAAGGTCGTCAAGACCAAGCACACACTCTCGCACGATCAATGTGGATTTGTGATGGCTGGCAGTGCGCTCAACCTTCTAGCTGCGAAAGGCAGGGAGATGAAGGAGGAGGTTACCCGGAGTGCGGAGCTGACTGATTGAGTCACGTTTGTATAAACAGGCAAAAGTGAGCATCTACGGCGCTATTGGTGTCACGGCGCATAAAGTATCCTAGCAGTAGACTATTCCCGGTCAAATGAATACGCAACAAATTACCTATAATCAAATCGACGTAAAGAGTGGCAGCGTGGTTTTGATGTTCGGCCCCTCCCCCACCAAGCCTAAAAAAATGTCTGACAAACTTCATGCGCGCCGCTCCGCGTCCTCCGCACAACACTATCTTAACAAGCGCGATACAGATGAATGAATGGCGGCAAAAGAGAAGCAAAAAGCATCTCGGGCGGGGCTCGAACCCGCAGCCTTTGGATTAACCATGGATACAGTTAGTAGAAGTCCAACGCGCTACCATTGCGCCACCGAGACCGTCAAGCGGAAATAGAGACTTCTGGCAATTTTCAAAAGCCGCACGTAAATATACCGTATAGTTTTCATAGATGTGATGGAGGGGAAGGATGGTTGCTGCATGAGGGAATGTCTGATTGAGGTTTGCATGTGAAAACGCGAAGGGTGCCACGTCACGGGCGCGAAGTGGGGGTGCGCAGACATGGTTCGTTTCTTTGTTTGACACGGGGTGTGGTGGGCTGAGCAACACCAGACTGGGGTGAATAACGAAGACACCGATGTCGTTGTTAGGATGAGTTATGTCGAGATTTTGTGCCTACTTCTCAAAGGGTACTGCTCTATATGCGGTCGCACGAAGCTGTGGTACCTCAACGAGGCGTGCCCATGCTAACAGCTTATTAGCAGCTTAGCTCGTGCGAATGTTAGGTATCTTGTTGTATTTATCCCATCTATTATACGTCCACGGCTAGAGCTACCAGCGGTAAAAGTTCATATCAAATCCCCTCGATCTTCTCAATCATCTCCAACATAACCTCATCCGTCAATTCATCCACTTCTTCATCACCGCCCTTATTCCGCTCACACACTTGCCGCAGCTGCAGGCGATTCGACTCCCAACTAACCCACGCAGCAGCCTGGAGAAAACAATCCGTGACATCGTCCAGCTTCTTGAGCGCGGTGCCCGCGACTGCTGCTGCAGGAAGCACATCGTCTGAATCATCCTTGGCTTTCTTACGTCGTTTGGATATTGAGAGCGATAGGAGCGCTTGACGGGTGCTTTCTGCATCTGGCGCGAAACTGAAGGTTATGCATGGTACCGTGTCTTGTGTTACCGATGCCGTGGACGCGGGTGTTGCGGTGAGCCAGGAGCGGAGGAGAGCGATTTTGACCTTCTTTTCTGCTTTGGATCGATTTAGCGTCTTTCTTGGGGTGGACGCTTCGTCTCCGTTGCCCTCGCTTGGTTTGACGACTTCTTCGTCTCCTTCTGCGAGGCGTCCGGCAGCTCGGGTGAGCCAGTACTGTCCTACGCGTTTGGGATCTGCACTGAAGACTTCGTAAAGCTTTGCTGCAGTAGGTGCTGACGCTCCTTTCTCCAGTCTTTGTGCGTATATGGTTTGTAGTACAGCCCATAGCATGCCTTCTAGAGTGTTGACCCGCAAAGTCCACTGTTGCACCGCGCTGCCACCACCAGATCTCCATCTTTGCTTTTCGATCAAGATGATGTCTGGCGAGCCTGCTAGAATCGTGTTCTTGATCAAGCCATACGCTGTCTTGGACAAAGCATCCGCAGAGTACATGTCAGATACTTCTTCAGCACCCTCGGTACGTTGCTTTGTGGTCTTGCCCTTTCGTGGAGATTTCTTTTCGCTCTGTATCTCCTCTCCTGGGGCTTCCGTAAGGTTGATCTTCTCCCATCTCAAAACCTTCATGTCCGCATCCAGGCTATCCTTCGATGGGTAAGACACATCCGCCTCGCAAAACGCCAGGTTCTTGATTCCCATGTCGATGCTCATAATGCGGAGCTTCTTGTTTGCAGCTCCAAATCTTGGCCATGTCCGTTGACTCTTGGAAAAATGAGATATTCCAATATCACGTCGGAACCGTTCCTGTAGTACTGCTTTTGTCCCCGATGATGGTGCGCCGATGTGTACAAGTAGAGTTTGCAGCGCCTTGGCTGTCACGGCGCGAGGTTTGGGTGCCATTGAAGCTATCGGCTTTCTTGTCGGCTTTATAGTAGTCTAGGGTGCAGATTGATCGACGAAAAGAAGTGCTATTGACCTAGCACGAGCGGAGAGAAGCGCCGGAGGCATTGTGAACCGCGGCGCGTTGACAGAACCATGCAAGATGAGCAGTGGTAACTCAATGGATTGTGGTCATCCTGTCAAACCCCGGCTTTGGTGTGCGAAGACGTGTTGGTGGATAAAGTTTTTGGGGTTGAGAGTTGACGAAAAGTCAAGGTAAACACGTCCCGACTTAGCGTGGAGCACGCACGTGATGCGGTCATTGACATCACAACCCTCGAGTTCAAATAGATAGTTCATGTCAAAATATGAAATCTCAGACGTACTTAGCTAATGTATCGTTATCATATTCTTTGCACGCATGCTATTAACACTGCATTAATCTCCATCCCAAGGCCTCTTCACGTCTCTTCACGTCCATAGTCCAAAGCGAAATTGGAAGTCACCAAATACTTCGTTCCCTCGACTACCCTTCACAAATAAGATCGAAATCAGGAAAATCAGGATCAGGACCAATGTTCGTACTCGCAACCGCACTATTGAAGTCCTTGACCTGTGCGTTCTTCTGCGCATCGTTGCACTTGTCTATCAAGTCTGTTAGCGATCCGTCCCAATCTGTAGAAAGTAAGGAAAGAAGGAAGACTTACTCTTCTGCTCATCACAGTCATTAACACTCAACCCCCCATCCTGCCTCTTCTTCCCCTTCTTCCCCCTACCTCCACCACCTCCATTACTATTCGCAGTGTTACTGCAACCTTGAAACTGATTATCGCAACTTCTCTGCGCCGCAGAATCAAAACTGGTAAATGTGTCCCCATCGACCTGGAATGGTCGTTCTTTGTCGCCTGAATTTGTAATGGGTGATGCACGCGTTCCGCCGAGGTTGCCGTCAAAGGTCTGCAGATCGGATACTTGTCGTAGGAAGAGGGTGTGGCGAGGGACTAGTGACATCTCCCAATCTGAGGAGACTAGGGCTGGTTGTGGGGAGGCGTGGGATAGAGCGGGGAGGGCGAGGTGGATTAGAGCTAGGAGGGCTGTGGGAAGGAACATGGCTGTGTAGGGACGACGTGTCGACAGAGACGTTTGTCAGTGTTGGACAGTGCCGGGCGTGAATCGATGCCGGTATGGAATGTTTTTGCCGGGCGTGGAAGGTGTCGGTATGGAGAGATGTGTCGTGCGTGAAAGCTCTTGCCGGGCGTGAAAGATGCCGGTGTAGTAAGATCTGACGGGCGTGAATCGTTGCCGTTGCTGAATATATGCCGTGCGTGAAAGACGAAAAGTGCCGTGCGTGAATCAACCTCGTGCGTAAAACCTCAATACCACAATCGCCAATATCCTCCGAACGTATGCAGGCACAGCCTTTGGAAATAATCGACTCAATCGCACCAAACGAATGTAAATATCGCAATCTCTCCAGAGAGTAAAAGACGCAAATCCCCGTTCCAAACACCCACCCGGGGCCAACCGCATCTAAGTATAACCTATTGCCCCCAACGCCAAACGCCTCCACATGGCGTGGAAGCGCCGAACATGCATTATCTCACGCCAAACGAGTTTGGGGCCCAGCGGTCACAAAGCTTGTTTGGGCAAGTCGACACGTTGGTTGCTTGCGACGGTGCTGAAACACGATCCTTGACTCGACCCCTTGCAACGCATAAACATGTGCACGCTGCACACGTAAGAAGGACGAGGCGGGCAGAAGAACGGCCTTGTTCGAGTGTGAGGGAGAAAAGGAGAGCATGAAGATGGTGATGTAATAGAAAGATTCGGAGAGTAAACACTTCTTGGCTATGTTGATTTCGATATTTCGCGCTATGGATTGGGGTATGACTATGCTAAAACAAACGAGAAAGACAATGACGCTCTATTACAACTGACGTAAAACAGGTGTAACGATGCAAAGCGCAACGTACACAGACAGGATGATGGGAGTGAGCGGACGAAAGTGGTTGTTGTGGTGCCTCTTCTTCAACGTGATGGTATACGTCTAAATCTACATTGTGCGCAGTCCTTGTGGGACTGACTGACCACGATGGTGACGGTATACACGAATCTAACATCGCGGAATCAGCGCCTGGAATGCAAACTCACAGAGAGGCCATTCGTGCATTATAGCCGCGATTGCAAATATATACATCCTCCGCCGTGCTGTCGTCTCTCAAAATCGCTTCTAGGTCAGACAAATTCCGCAGATAGTCGTTGGTATCGTAATGGGCCCTTATAGGCCTATGTACTTTGGTCGGGCTGCGCTTCGCCTAGAAGTTGGCAGCTGCGTTGGGGCGTCCTCCTGGGTTGTGGTACTGCTCCAGGTTCGACTGGAAGGGCGATGAGCCGGTGCCGTTCTGGGGCTTGTCACCGAGGGCTGAGCCAGTGCCGGCCATGAGGTCGTCGTCGTCTTCGTGGACGCGTGCTTGGCGCTTCTTCATGCGCCAGAAGACGAGGGCGATGCCACCGAGGAGTAGGGCTCCACCAACGCCACCAACTACACCACCAATGACCTTCTTGTTGGAGTCACTGATGCCACCGCCGTTGTCGCTGTCACCTGCTTGTGCGGTGGGCGGGTCGGTGACGACGGCTTCACCGGTGGAGGAGACGGAAGTGCTGGTGCCTGTCGAGGTCGCTTTGGTTACTCTGCCATCGCTCAGGGTTGTGTCGAGAGTCGTGGTATACTCGAACACCGAGGTGGAGAAGAGAGCGGAAGTCCTGACAATCGCGGTCGTTCGTACGGAAGAGCTGCCATCTTCGGTGGCCGTTGGTGAGTTAGCGGCGCCGCCACCTCCACCAGTGCGACTCGTGCCCGCCGCGGTTGTTGAAGCGTCGTTGTTGTTGTTATTGTTGTTGTTGTTGCCGCCATCGGAAGTGGGTGCGGCAGCGGTAGTCGAAGGTGCGGGAGCGTCG